ACTGCCTTTTGTCTTCACCCCCATTGCAAGCAGAAAGCTCCATTTTTGAAAATTGCCATTTTAGAGAAGAGGAAAGGTGAAGCTACTGAGGTTGTTGGTGTTCTGTAGGAAGGCAAAGCAGCTTGGCCTAGGCTGCGGGAAAGTGTCAAGGTAAAGAAGGCTGCTAAAAAACATTGAAGAAACTGGAGTCTTTGTGAAAGCAGAGTTGAAGAAAAAGAAGCCGACTCATGGCAGCAGGCAGCAGGCATAAGCAAGTCTGAGGCTTACCCATATCCTATAACTTGAAAGCAAAACTAAAAATTCTTCAGACTGGCTTCATAGGTGGAGTTTCCTGGAAGAAAGCAAGACTGAAGACTTCAGGTTCCTTTCATCCCCCTGCCCATCTGCACTGTGATGTTAATGCAGGGCTTCCAGCATCATCGCCATGTATTCCTCTCCCTGCTGTCCCTCGTGGGTTTCTTTGTCCCAGCACAGAGTGGATTTACAGTCCTCCAAAAATGGATGGAAATTCTTCTGCTCAGCACCTACAGAGAAGAAGATGTGTCCATCCGAGGTAACACCTTGGAAATGTCTCCTGCTGAAGTCAGATGTGATGCCGTTTTTTGACATTTGAGCAACACAGAGAGTTTTGGTGGGGGTTTGCTCTTTGCGTTCAGGCACAATAATCCTTCACAGAGCTGAGGTACAGAGTGTCCTCAGATGCTATTTTGAAATTATAAAGCACTGTCAAAAGGAAAGAAGACATGCTGTATCTGTTAGAGAGATGATGTTCACACTGAGAATGCTCTCCCGCTTCTTAAAAATTATTATTATTATTATTATAGAGGTTTAATTTTTTATCACAGTGATTTTAGTATTATGCAGAAAAATTATAACTTTAAAGTATTTTTTAAATGAAAAGGAAAGTTGTGCCTTACCAAAGATAAGCATTTTTTATGTACAAAAATTAGAAGCAATTCAGATTGCACTGTTGCTTAAAGGCTGGAATTGCTGTAGAGAGAGATGGTGTGTCACTCAGCACTGCAATGACAAACATCTTTAACATGGAGATAATTAGGGGGTACAATGGGTGGCTGTGCAAGCTTTTAGCTGGAATCAATAGGAAAAATATGTTTGGCACAATATGTGACAAACTTATAGGGGTTTAATCATATTTCTCTTTGCTGCAAGACCTGTCACCATAGAGGATACCCCTCCAGTAGCCTGTGTGGAGCGTGTCAGGCTGGCCTCAACTTTGTTTTAACAGCAGATGCTTATGAAATAGTCACTGAGATCTGGGAATCAAATTTAGTCTGTAATTACCCTTTAACAACAGGGTTTCTGCTGTTGCACATGTGATGCCATATGCATTATCCCAGCAGTTAATTACTGAAGGGCTCTCCAAACCCCCCTCCTCTCTCCCATCAGATTTCCTGTCTTCCAGGTATCTCAGAATTGGGTACTGCTGGCAACTGCCACAACTCATGTGACATCTGCTTCCCTGCTTCCTGGTGTAAATTCTCAAATGTGAAGAAAAAAAAGCTGCAGTCCAAGAAGAGGTAAAACTTTTTAAACCATTTCAGATTTCCTCTTGGTTGGGAAGCTGAGACCCTGCTCCTGCCTGAACTGTGATGCAGACATTTCTCTGGTATCTTCTCTTTCCCCAGTCCTCTGCATTTCCACATCTCCAGGCTCTACCCCCAAGCTGGCCAGGGCAAAAACCAGCCAGGCACAATCTCTGTGTGGCTGGAAGTAGCATGACATTGCTGCCCAAAGCCTTTGGTGCTGGCAGCCAGCTGTCAATGAGAGTGTTGGTGCCTCTGGATGTTTCAGGAATGGTGATTCAGTAGGCTACACAGTTTCCTCTGAGTCAGTCTCCAAATTATGATTTAACACCAGGGTATTGGGAAGCTGGAAAAAGGAGGCATAGCTCAGAGATCCTAGTGAAAGCAGTAAATTCCAGTCTTGGCTTACTACTGATACTCAGGATAAACTTCTGCCTAGCTTTGCCACAGAATTTCTGCACGAATCTTTAAAGTTGCTTTTCCTATAAATTTATACTCTGCAACATACACCCAATAAAAATATGATTCCTTCCAGACACACAAGACTGGGGCTTGTGTGATGTGTGAGGCAGGGAGCAGCTAAGGTTTGAGTACTGTGTATTTCGTAAAGGCAAACTTATATTGGATTGAAGGTAGAGAAGACCAAACTGCAGCATTGATTTAAGGTACAGTATAGCAAACAGCTCAGAAAGCAGAAGTCATGCCTCTGAAGTTCTTCTCTTAAACTATGGAACATCATGGCCCTGTCAAGGTTTGTACACTGGAAGCCACAAGAGGTGATGTACTCTTTATCAAAGTTTGCTTCATATTTGGCTTAGATATTACAAAGAAATTCTTGACTGTGAGTGTGGTGAGGCACAGGCACAGTTTACACAGAAAAGCTGTGGGTGCCCCATTCCTGGAAGTGTCCAACGCCAGGTTGGACAGGCCTTGGAGCAACCTGGGCTAGTGGGAGGTGTCCCTGCCCACGGCAGAGGGTTGGAACAAGATGTGCTTTAAAGCTCCTTCCAACCCAAAACCATTCTGTGATTTAGAGCCGAAACAGGTTGCTGAGAAGCAAAAACTGTTAATGGCCTTATAGGTTCATTATCTCTGAAGAAACAAGACAAACCTATTGCCCCTTGGAGTTTACAGGGTAATTGACTCACAGAATCACAGAATCATAGAATATGCCAAGTTGGAAGGGACCCACAAGGGTCATCAAGTCCAGTCCCTAGCCCTGCACAAGATCATCCCCGAGAGTCACACCACATGCCTGAGAGTATCATCTTGAACTCTTTCAGCCTTGGTGCTGTGACCACTGCCCTGGCGAAGTCTGTTCCAGCACCCAATCACCCTCTGGGAGAAGAACCTTTTCTAATATCCTACCTAAACCTCCCCTGACACAACTTCAGGCCATTTCCTTGGGTCCTGTCACTGGTCACCACAAAGAAAAGGTCAGTGCCTGCCCCTTCTCTTCCCCTCCCCAGGAAGTTGTAACTGCAGTGAAGTCTCCCCTCAATCTCCTCCAGCTGAACAGACCAAATGCCCTCAGCCGCTCCTCATATGGCTTCCCCTCAAGGCCCTTCCCCACCTTCATTTCCCTCCTTTGGACACTCTCTAACGGCTTAATATCATTCTCAGATTGTGGTGCCCAAAACTGCCACAATATTCAAGGTGAGGCTGCCCCAGGTCAGAGCAGAGTGGGACAATCCCCTCCCTTGCCTGGCTGGCAATGCTTTGCCTGATGCCCCCCAGGACACAGTTGGCCCTCCTGGCTGCCAGGGCAGTACTGACTCATAATCAACTTGACATGAACCAGGACCCCCAGGTCGCTTTCCTGGCACAGCTTTCCAGCATCTGATTCCCCCAGTCTGTACACACAATCAGGGTTGTCCTAGCCCAGAAACTGGCACTTCCCCTTCTTCGACTTCATATGATTGCCAGTGATAGCAGTGGAACCTCTGCTGGTGGAGAGCAAGTAACAGAGTATTTGCAGTCTTTAGAAGTCCACTCTTTCTTAGAAAATGCTGCAGAAAGTGGTGTCAGCATGAAGAGAAACATATCAGCCAGACCTGGTCTGCTCCAGAAGCCTCAGGTTGCAAAAGGGAGAACACAAATGCCAAAGGCAGCAACACTTCACCCAAGTACAATGGGTTGATTGGGTTGGAAGATTGAGTTCTGATTAAAGTTTTATTTTTAAGAGTTCGCAACATGTTGCAGGCTCTGACAAGCAGCAGTAGGACAGAACGTCAGGGCGAGAGGAGGCATCACTGCAGCAGAATTCACCCCTCACTCCCCACAGCAGCCTTTGTTCTGCTGCTTCCTTGCAGAGGGATAGGAGCACCCCCTGCCTCCAGCCAAAAAGAGACCAAAGTCTCAGTATTTAAGAGTTAACATTTTATTGGACTTCAGTTGATGGAGAACAGAAGGGCAACAATGGCTCAGGTGTTCAATCACAAGTGTCACATACAGGGGCTTAACCCAGTTTGCAGGGAGACAATTGAGGAAGTTGTTTTTAAACTACTCTCCAAGGAAGAAAGGTGGATCCACAGCCCTGTTTTAATGTTCCCAGTTACTGTCCTCTCTCAGTCAATTTCATATCCTTCCCCAAAAGAAGCTTAGGACACACCTCTCCCCCATGAGCTAAAGAAATAAATGGTAGTAAACTCAGGGAAAGAACTAGACTTCAGAGTCACCTGTGCGGGAATCCACATTTGTGGCTCTAGAAAGATTGGTTGTGACAGACTATTTTTAACAAAGCTAACAAATGGGCAAAGTTTCTACTGTGACATTTTAACCCAACTTGTGTATAAAACCTGTTGAAGTACTTTGCCTCAACATGTGTCTACGTGTTTTACAAATCATTTCCAAAGGATCTGGATATTACTTGGCTCACTGACAAGGGGAACCCAAGACTTTAAAGCAGGCCTGTGAGTTGCTTCAACTGACAATGCAGAGCAGCCCAAATGCCATCTCTTTAACCCTTCATAACATGGTGATTTTTGGGGAGTTTGCCCAACTTTCTACCACGTAAGGCCAAGAGTTTGCATTAACCAGAAAAGTCAGAAAACAGCACTTATTCTAAAGTATTACAATTTGCTATAATATTTTTTTTTTAATGTGCAAAAGTTCATAGTAGAAGTACTGGCTCTCCAGCATCTGCTGGTAAAATTCTTTCAATGGACAGCCTGAGTCTTGAAGAAAAAGAGGGACCAGAAAAAAGCAGCTTCAAATATGATATAAGCAACAACACCACCACAGGGAGTTAACAATACTGAAACTTCTTTAATAAAAACATGAAATACTATCTTACATACTATTAGAGGAACTGGATATTGTTTTTTAAATAAACAACCTACTGCTCAATACTAACTTATATAATCCTATAGAAGCTAATCTTCAGTTTTAAACAAACAAGCTAATGTTCAATATTAAGATAAAAATCCTAGGGGAACTAAATAAATATGCCACAGCTCATAAATGTGTCCTGGCCAAAGCAGATGACTGGTGACAGGACTCCTCTTGCTGTTTGTCAAATTCTTGGATTAGTCTCTTAATGTGAGACAGCTTGTTGTGTAGGTACTGACATCTCTTCTTCAATTCAGAGTAGGTGGGGCTACACTATAAAGGAAAGATAAAAAGAAAATTAGGGCATGCAAACATTTCTGGAGAGTTTAGAATTTCATCTCTTTGGCTTTAAAATAGCCTTGAGCCAGACTCAGTGGTTTCCACATCCCACAGATCTGGTGTTACACATACCTGTTGTATCTTCTGATGCTCTGCCAGGACTTGACGACAAAGCATCTACGAGAGAAAAAACCCAGGAAGACAATATGAAGAACATTTCACTACTATCAGAAAATACAAACATGTGAAACACTAAGAATACACTCAGTTTGACTTGAAGAGATTTTCTTCTCTGTGAGCCACCGCTTCTGTAGGAGCTTTGCAAAAATAAATCCCCAACCCCCTCTATCACCTAGGATCTGCAATTAAACCTGTCAGTAGGCAATAAAAGGACCATGTGCTCAAAGACTCCCTTTGGGACATCACTCACACTGCCGTGCATTCACAGAGAGCTCAAACACGGCGTTTTTGGCAGAGTTTTGCAAATATGAGACCCAGCCCAAGCAGGGTCTGAGCATATCTTCCAATTCCACAAGGTTTCCCTTTGTCTCACTGAGCAGTACCAGGGAAACTAAAATACTCCTTCTGCTCACAAATACATTTGCAATCTGGCCAAAACCAAAATAAATGCCATCCAAAAAGCCTCAGCCTGCACGCAGAACTAAAGAATTCTGATACTGAAGACATGGAATGGTTGTGTTCAAATCAGAGAAGCCAAGGCTGGACGGACAGAATATCAGGTTTTGAACAGCCCTCTCTGCTAAAATTGCAGCTGGGATCAGCCACCTGGAAGATGAGTAAATTGTTGCTGTAGGTTTAGTTATGTGTTAAAAGTCATGGGAAAGAGAGGGTCAGGAAACCTTTTGGGATTACGGCTACTGGTTTCCAGGCATTTCCAGTCTTCTCTCCCATGTGTGTATCAGCACCCCCTCAGCTCACCAGGATCTTCTTTTATCCTTCTTTACCTGATATTCTGTGGACCCCTGAGTCACAAACTTCAGCTGATCATTAAACTTCCTGAATTTCTTGGCAATGCTGTCTGTCTGAGCCAACAAATTCTGGTATTTGCCATACTCTGCATTGAAGTCGTCCTTGTAGCTCTGGCGTTGCTCATAGGACACTATAGCTGTGTATTTTCTAATGGAAGATGGAAAACATTTTGCTATTAATATGTTCTAAGGGAACATTCTAATTAATTTCCATCTATAAAGCACACATGCAATTTTACACCAAGCACATGGTGAATGTCAAACCCAGACATCCAGTCTCAAGTGAGTTCACTCCTTGGTTTCCTGCTTCTACAGGTAAGCACATGTGCTTCAGGAGAATGTAGTCAGGTAACTCTAGAAATGGGCCACAGAAAACAACTTCTCCCAGTGATGCATCCCAGGCCAGATGCACCCAATCAGCATGCTGGATGATATTTGAAAAGAAAACTACAGATGTCCTTCAACATTTTGGGAGATACCTGTGAAGCAATAGCCTGGATTTCTGGCTTATGCACAGTGACATCCTCTAGCAAGAGCCCAGCACAGCACCCACAGTGCAAGAGTGTAGAGAGGGAAGAAAGGAGAGGCAAAATGGGGAGAAACATGAACCTGTTTTGTTTTTCTGGCTTTTGCATACACTTTGCTTAAAAAGCCTGAGTCCCTTTACACTCATACTATCTATATTAAGATTGAAATTATCTTTATGCTAGAGCTGTGATCATACTCATGAATTACGTAGCCCTAAGAATCAGGAAGAGAAGCTGGAATAAACTACCAAAGTGCTTTGAGCTGGATCATGTTGCAGGTGCTCTCAGTTTTAAAACTTTCTCTATGGGTCAGGCAGATGTCTGATACAGCACAACCCAATTTTTCCCACGTCACTGTGAGATTGTTCAGACATGGCTCCTTTCACAGGCAAATTTTCATTTAAGTTTTTAATCCCAATCAGAACTAAGCCAACTTCATGAAATCTTGCATAAAGGGTTTTTTCTCTTTAGGTTTCGATTTCGGCTTCCTACTTCAATATTCAGTTACAAAAAGTAACCATCTATCTTGCTCCTCAGTATCACTGCTCCCAGCTGACTGGGAAACAGACAGCAAAGAGCTGAATCTGTTCATTTTCACCTAGCAGAGGCTGGGAATTGAACGTGCATTGAAGTCCTCAGCCTAACATGGGAAGCACGAAACTGCTTCCCTGTAGGGCCAGGCTCCCCCTCAGTCTTTCCATGGAGCATCCCTGACTGTATCATATGGGATCCAGGTGCTGCCATGCCACCAGCTTGAAGGCACATGGAAGATGCACCAAAGCTGCAGAGCTGCAGGAGGCCTGAGCGCCCTTGCCGATGTCCCTGCTCTCACAGAAGCAATTGGCAGTGTTTGACCAGACAGATACACTTCCCCCTCCCCTACTGCACTACAGATCCCACACGGGGACACAACACCACTGCTGCAGCTGACAGCTGCGCAACTGCACTGCCAGCAAGTGTCAGGCTCGTCCTGCCCTTCCCCATCACAGTGTTCATTTTCCTTCTGAGCACTTAGGGCCCATCAAAACCTTCTCAAAGTCATCTTTCCAAAAGAGGAAGGAACTTAAGACTGCTCTCCAATGAGTACCAAGGGAGATAATTGTTATTTTACTCACATGAAGTAGTCTGGTTGTTCCGTTGATGACACAGGGTCTGTGGAGGCACTGAAAGTTTCTTTAACCCCTACAGAAAAGCAGAATTTTGACACCTGAGATAAACAGATTTTTCCTATAGACAAACCAACTGGATGGGCTTAAAACTGTCCTTGACCCGACTCACCATGCCCTGGAGTTTCAAAAGGAATCTGAGATGTCTCCTTTTGCTGCACCTCGGAGGTGCAGGGGAAAATGGAGCTGGCAGTTTCAGACGTGTTAGAAGTCGGAAGGACTGTGGGAGGCAGTGTTGAGGAAGCAGGAC